GAATGCTTTAACGTAGAAAATGCTATTTCCTAGAGCCCATTGGTGCGTGCGTATTTGCTCACGTTACCCTGTGAACAACGCTCCTCTTGCTTTTCCCTCTATTCCAGAGTGGCTACGGGACTTGTCTATGGGTTAAAATCTGAGGGTTCAATTGATCTCAGGGTAAGTGATTGGTCTTGGGACTGGAAGCAACCTGAACGGGGCAGAATTTTGGTGGAAGAGACCTCTGATCACGACGGATGTCAAGACGTTATCCAGTCCCGCCCCAAGCGCTGTGGCAAGAGGCAGTAAAGCTAGACCACCCCAACGGCTGTTTGTCCGGCCTCTTCTGGGAAACCTCCAATGACTGGACATCCCATATCCTCTGTTGGAAGCTGGTTGCGGAGTTTAACTAGTGTCAGAATTGGAACGCTCTCCCTAACCTCTAACATGAACCTCCCTTGCTGCAGATCATGTGGAGACGGAGAACAGTCGAGCGCCGCGCTTGTTACAACAGTCCGGAACAACTGTGAAGATTGGTCTTTGCTCAAGACTAGAGATGCCCTGTGTTTTTAACCATGGCCACGTTCTGCTCTACTCTGCACTGATCAGGCGTCAGTCAGAGTGTTGGGTCCAGTTCTGGGCACCGCATTTCAAGAAAGAGGTGGAGAAACTTGAGAAAGTCCAGAGAAGAGCAACAAGAATGATGGACGGTCTAGAGAACAGGAGCTGTGAGGGGAGGCTGAAAGAACCGGGCTTGTTTAGTTTCGAAAAGAAAAGACTGAGAGGGGACATGATGGCAGCTTTCAAGTATCTAAACGGGTGTCACAAGGAGGAGGGAGAAAAATCGTTCTCCTTGGCCTCTGAGGACAGGACAAGAAGCAATGGGCTTCAACTGCAGCAAGGGAGGCTTAGGTTCAACCCAAGGAAAAACTTCCTAGCGAGAGGGGTTGTGGAATCCCCCCCATCCCTGGAGATATTGACGTGCAGGTTGGACGGATGCCTGGCAGGGATGGTCTGGCCCCAACTGAGTGTTTTTGCGACCGGCGACTACGTCTTTAGAAAAGATCTGAGTGGGCCCCGCCTGGTTACCAGTTTTATAACGGGGGGGGCCGACGCTCAGCTCTCGAGCCACATGCGGGTCTTTGATTAAGAAAATGCAGCTCCTGCTGTTCTGAGCCGCGGGCCCGGACTGATCACGGCTGGCCGCTCTGTGCATGGTCCCCAGAGCCTGGAGGGAGACACGCGTGGCGGCAGCGGGGGACATTGGCACACCAACCCCCCCCCCTTCCACTCACATACAAACGCCGTCCTTCGCGAGAAATCGCCGATGGCCAGCAAAGGGCTCTGGGCTTGCCTGCTGGAACCCAACCTTTCCCTCCGACAATTTCCACCCGCAACAGTCAGAAATGTCCCACCTGAAGGGTCCCCCGGCCCCGTCTCTGGGTGGGAAATTAGTTATTGATTCAACAACATGGCAAATATCCCCCGTTTTGCCTTAAAAAGTTCCAACATTTTTCTCAGTTTGAGCCCAGCAGAACCCTGACGTTTCCAGCCCAAACCATAAGAAAAGCATCTTTGGTGTGTGTGTGTGTGTGTGTGTGTGTGTGTGTGTGTGTTGTTTTCTTTCCAGGAGCTATTAAGTGCAGAGTTTCCCACCCTGCTGGAATGAAGCCAGCTCCTTCATCCCATTGCCGCAACGGAGGTTTAGGTCAGACGTTAGGAGACGCTGTCTGGCTGCCAGGATGACAAAGTGCTGGGACAAATGGCCAAGGGAGGTTGTGGAGTCTCTGTCATCAGAGGTTTTAAGAGCAGGTTAGAAACCCCTCGGTGAGGGATCTAGATAATATATAGCCCTGCCTCGGTTGACTGAATAGACCGAGGGCCCTTCCAGTCCTACATTTCTGTGCTTCTAGTCATAAGGTGGAATCCAGACAGAAAAAGTACTTTAAATCAAAGAACACGCTACAAAACTTCCCAGAGATCCCCCTAGGATCTTGGTCGGTATCTGTTCTTCCCACTTATGAAGTTCACTACAGACCACGGTGACCGCTCCTTCCTCAGGGTGTAGCTTCAAAAGGCTGGGACTTTCTTTTCTTTGCAGAACCAGAATTTGCCTTCACGACCCATCCCCGTAGGGATGCCCCAAGACACTGCTTGGTTGTGAGTCTGTTCTGGTCTGGTGCATTGTTCTATCTGGACTTTTGAAGCCTTCTCTCATAGATTTGCTAAAGCGGCGAGGAGTCCTGTGGCACCTTATAGACTAACCGAAGTGTTGGAGCATAAGCTTTCGTGGGCAAGGACCCACTTCGTCAGATTTGTAGATTCTAGCCTGGTGGGTCTCAAGTGGGGGGCTGTCGCCCTGGGAGTAGAAAGGGGTCTCCCGGAGGGACATCAACGCCTCTGAGTATGACCTGCTTTTACAACAGGCTCCGTGAAAAGCCCCAGAGAAGTCCGCGCAGACTAACGTTTCATACAGCAGCGTGTTTATGCCGCTCTACGCACTGTGCATGGACATGTCAGAGCGATACACTCTACAGGATGGATTGTATAATAAGCAGGTGAAAATGAGGACGTCAGCAATCGGTCAGTAACGGCGGGTGTGACCCGCTTGCATTGTTTTACATCTGATTTCATATGCGAGTCCTATTTAAACGAGGTGAAACGTAAGGCGGAGGCGAGAGAAATGGCACCCCTGAAAGAGGTCCAGTCGCCTGGAAAGGCTGAGACCCAAATCCGGAGCTTGTCCCTGCTTTAGTTCCAAGCACGGCTCTTTGAGACAAACACCCCGTCGTGTCTGACGCTGCCAGGTGTGATCTACGCACCCGCTGTTCCTTGTGCCCCTCGTTAATGACATTCAGGGTTATCAATTGACACCTTTCTCCCCAGGCTGACCGTGTCTGGCGTCAGCTCCGAGCCAGAGGGTGTCTCCTCCCGCCTGCCCCTTTGGAAAACTTCCGTATCGTCCCAGGCCACATCGCGCAACGGCCCCAAAGAGTGTTAGGCGCTTTTAATACGGGGGCCGGAGGGTGCAGCGGGAAGCGTCCCCTGCTCTCCATGAGAAGCCTGGGACCCATTGGACGGAAAGGCTCCTTTTTCCATGGGCTGGGCACGAAGCACGTCCCCACTCGGAGCTCTCAGTTTGGTCCCGTCGCTCCTCTCCCGGGAATTGATGCTCTTGGTGAAGGGGATGAGGTGGAGAAAGCTCCAGGTGTCCGGAGATCCATGGGAAGGAGGCCGGGTGGGACAGCGCTCCGTTTGGAATGCTGAGCGGGGTCCCACCGGTGCGCAGGGTCCCTCTCTGGGCACCGTCAAAGCCCCTGGCCAGGCAGGGGGACGTGTGAGGGTGGAGAGGGAGGGGCCGGGCTGGGTGAGCGACTGGCAGTCGGTCGGTTTCACGCGGAGTGACCCGAGGCGTGGTTCTGGGGAAAGGGAAGTTGGAACAGGACCTGCCATGGGGCCGCCACAGCCGGGGCGGTCACACTTGTGCTAGGTTAGGGATGTGGCCAGGCTGAGAATTGTGTCGTGTCCCCAGCCGACCAGGCAGAGGATGAAAACTCCCTGCCACTTGAAAGGCCCGTCACCAAGACACGGTTCCCCCGCGTCGCATTGACACAGACTTTCAGCAGAGAGACTGGATTCCTCACATACGAGTTGGCGAGTTCGATTAGCAGCCACAGGCGTCAGGCAAACCCCTCCCAGGCACCTCTGCACGGCTAAGGGTTCTGAGAGGTGCGGTTTGGTGGAGTGAGTTTGTCAGGACTCAGCTGCAAAGGCCTGAGGACCCTAAACCAAGGGGAGGGGAGTCCCTCATGGCTTCCTGTCCAGTGGCTACGATGCCAATGGGTTAGATGAGGCTTTACTGCACCCTGCAGTGAGAGGCAAAGGTCCTAGCTACAATTCCCTGCCAGGGCCAGGGCTTCTTCATACATTCCCAGGCCACTGGGAGCGTCTGCTGTGACCCCCTGTATCGCCCAGGCCGGAGAACGACCCCAGAGAATTCCTAGCACAGATCTGTTAGCTAAACCCCTCTCCCCTCGATGTGCAGCTGAAAAAGCCACCAGTGTGCTGGGAGTCATTAGCAAAGGGACTGATTAGCAAAATATCCCATGACCTCTGCATGAATCCATGGTAGACTCACCGTCTGAGTACTGCATGCAAATGTGGTCACCCCACCTCCAAGCAGACATACTGGAACTGGAGAAGGTGCAGAGAGGGAAAATGAAAATGGTTCGGGGCATGGAACAACCTCCCGATGAGGGCAGATTTATTAAGTCTGAGACTTTTCTGCTTGGAAGAGTGACACCGCGAGGGATATGGTAGCGGTCAGTAAAATGATCACTGTTGTGGCGAGAATAAATAAGGGAATGGTATTTACACCTTCTCACCACACAAGAATTAAGGGTGACCCCACAAAATGAATAGGCAGCACATTTAAAACACACAGAAGGCAGTATTTCTTCACCCAATGCACAGTCAGCCTGTGGAACTCCTTGCCACAGGATGTTCTGAAGGGGAAGACTATAACAGGGTTCACAATCAGACTAGATATGTTCATGGAGGGCAGGTCCATCAATGGTCCTTAGCCAGGATGGGCAGGAAAGGCGTCCCCAGCCTCTGTTTGCCCGAAGCTGGGAATGGCAACAGGGAATGGATAGCTTGATGATATTCTATTCTGTTCTGTTCATTCCCTCTGGGCACCTGGCTTTGGCCACTGTCAGAAGACAGATCCTGACCTCGATGGACCATTGGACAGACCCGGTCTAGCTGCTCTTATGAGCTCTTATAAAGCTCCTCGACAACTTGCTTTGACGGACCCCCTTTTCCACGGAAAGACTTGGGCTGTGTGTACTTGTGTATGCGTAGGCGGGTGTGACCCTACGTGTGTGTTAGTTGCACGAGCCTCCTGTGTGAGGGGAAAACAGCCCAGGTGTCCTGGAAGAGCTAAGGGGGAAGGTTTCCCAGACACATCGTGGGTGGAAAGTCCATGCCCAGTGCCGCGATGGAGCCGTGGGCTGGACTCACGCACACTGAGCCAGGACCTTCCTCTTTACCCTCCTCAGGGCCGCGGCCACGTCCTTGTTCCTCAGGCTGTAGATGAGGGGGTTCAGGGTGGGCACCACGGAGGTGTAGAAGAAGGTCACTTGCTGTTTCTGCCCAGGGGTGTTGCTGGAATCTGGGTGGAAGTAGAGCCAGGCCACGGTGCCGTACGTGAGCAACACCACGGTCAGGTGGGAGCCGCAGGTGGAGAGGGCCTTGCGCAGGGCTTGGGCAGAGCGCAGGCGGCCCACGGCCACCCCGATGCAGACGTAGGAGGCCAGGATGATGGCGCAAGGGGTTCCCACCACCAACGTGGCCTCGGTGAAGAGCACCAGCTCATTGACGAAGGGCCGGGTGCAGGAGAGGCGCAGCAGCGATTGCAGATGACAGAAGTAATGCGGCAGGCGGTTGCTGCAGTAACGCAGCCGGGCGGTCATGACGCTGTGCAGCAGGGCGTGCGGGATCACCACGGCCCACGAAGCAGCCACTATCTTGAGGCACAGGGACCGCGTCACCACGGCGGCGTAGCGCAGCGGGTCGTAGACGGCCACGTAGCGGTCGTAGGCCATGGCAGCCAGCAGGCAGCCCTCCATGGTGCTCACGGACAGGTAGATGAAGAGCTGGGCCATGCAGCGGGCGAAGGGGATGGCCCGGTGTTGGGTCAGGGCGTGCACCAGAGCCTGGGGCAGGGTGATGCAGACGAGGCCCATGTCCAGCACGGCCAGCTGACTGAGGAAGAAATACATGGGGCTGTGGAGCTGGGGGTCGGCCCACACCAGACCCACAAGCATGGAGTTGCCGGCTAGGTTCACCAGATAGGTGAGCAGGAAAACGGCCACTAGATGTAAATTTCGTCTACACTGGCAGCTTCTTGCGCAAGAACAGCCATTCTTGCGGAAAAACTTGCCGAGTGTCTACACTGCACGCATCTTCTTGCGCAAGTACATTTACAGTATAGCATTGGAAAACAGGGCTTCTTCCGGAAGAGTTATTCCTCTCTCCACGAGAAATAAGCCGCCTTGTGCAAGAGCTGCATATTGGCTATGTCTACACTCCAGGCTTCTTGCACAAGAACTTTTTGTGGAAGAGATCTCCCGCAAAAAGTTCTTGTGCAAGAGCACGTCCACACTTCTATGGTTACTCTTGTGCAAGGAAGCTCTGATGGCCATTCACAGAACTTGTGCTTTTTCTGAGAGGGCTTTCTTGTGCAAGAAACCCCTGTTGTCTGTCCACACATGCCTTTTTTCACAAGAACAACTAATTAGCAGATGAAAACGAGGACGTCAGTAACGGCGGGCGTGACCCGCTTGCATTGTTTTACATCGGATTTCATATACAAGTAGTATTTAAACGAGGTGAAACGTAAGGCGGAGGCGAGAGAAATGGCACCCCTGAAAGAGGTCCAGTCGCCTGGAAAGGCTGAGACCCAAATCTAGAGCTTGTTCCTGCTTTAGTTTCGAGCACGGCTTAAACTACACAAAAGCTTACACAAAAAGGCTTATTCCTCGTAGAAAGAGGAATAACTCTTGCGCAAAAAGCCCTGTCTTCTCACAACCTACTGTACTTTTTCTTGTGCAAAACAACACTTGCGGTGTGGATGCTCTGTGAGTTTTTGTGCAAAACGGTCATTTTTGCGCAAAAGCTTCGCAACGTAGATGGAGTCAAGGTGACGCGTTGACACACGACGCCAGTCACCTGTTGGGAGCCAAATCCCGTTGGGCAATAGCTTAGAAGCTCCATCTCAATGTAAAGTGCCACGCAGTGAAGGCGCCAACCCAACCCTGGCTCAGTTCTGCTCCTGGTCACGGACCGTCGCTGTAAAAACAGGCAGCGTCCGTCTGCTCTGACCGTGTGTCGCTGGGACTCACAGACTCTGAGCTCCGTGTTCCTCTGCCCTGGCCAGCCAGCAGCCGCAGCGTCTATGAATCCTCTCCTTCTCTCAACGCCAAACAGGCCCCGTTTGTCTCCCCTTCCCTGCCAGGGCAGCATTTCTAACCCTTTCCCCATTTGCTGCTCTGCCCGGACTCTCTCCGATTCGCCCACAGCTTGTCTAACGCGTGTGGACCAGGTTCCTCTGCCCTGGCCAGCCAGCAGCCGCAGCGTCTATGAATCCTCTCCTTCTCTCAACGCCAAACAGGCCCCGTTTGTCTCCCCTTCCCTGCCAGGGCAGCATTTCTAACCCTTTCCCCATTTGCTGCTCTGCCCGGACTCTCTCCGATTCGCCCACAGCTTGTCTAACGCGTGTGGACCAGAACTGGCCACAGAGCTCTGGACGAGAGCTCACCAGCGCCCAGCAGAGCGGGACACCCCCCGCCCGTGTCGGCCCCACGACACGCCAGTTCCCGCCCCAGCCTGTTAGCGCAGGATGGTCAGAGCTGCTTCACTTTGCTGGCTCCCATTCACACTCAGCATGCTCGCTACTCTTTGAAGACGGTCTTTTCACCACTTGGACACCCGCCTAGCGGTAACTTCACCTAGACCGAACCGGAGGGGTCGAATATTCCTTCCTGACCACTGCAGGTGCCCAACTGAATCCCTGAAACAAGACACTGGATTCTAGACACTGTTATCATACTGAGCTCCAGACGTGGCAGGCACGCCAAGGGAAATGCAGGTTGTTCTGTTCTCAGCCTGGCCCATTTGGGAATACAAGTTCACCCACGGAGTCCAAGGCGAGATGAGAGGGACACAGTGAAATAGCCACCCCCTTGGGAAACAGCCGATCCGGCATTGGGGAGGGGATTGGTAAAGGGGAGAGAGCTCAGAGCAGAACCAGCCAGATCAGGAGAGAATCCAGGGACTTTCGCTAGTTAGTGGAACAAGGAGAAGGCGAAAGGGCCACTCGGACTCAGTCTAGAAGGACCGACAGGGGAACAAATTGCTCAGCGGCTCTTGGGTCTAGCACAGAAGGGTCTGACCCGAAGGTGGCAGCTAGACACAGCGGCTGTGACAGCCGGGATGAGGACGTCTGGAAAACCCACACAGGAAACGGGGCCTGAGCAGGGGTTTGGCAACACGTGGGACTCTGGAAATGTCTCCTGTGGGGAGAGGACAGAGAGAGGAGCGGTGTGTATCGCGTAAGAGGGAGCAGGAGGCCATGAAAATGGGACAGAGAAAAGAGCTCAGGGGATTCTGCCCACCCTGCAAGCACCGCGACTGCCCTGTGAAGAGAGAGAAAAGTGACTGCGTTTGGGGGCAGCTCTGACCACCCAGATACTCTTGGCCCGAGGGATAAGTCAGGCGGGTTTGGGGTTCAGGCTCCATGCCAGTATTTTGCTGTCACTCCACGGCCCGGTCCCGCTGATCTCATATGAGATACGTCGGCTTATTCCCCCATTTCCTACTCTTACGAATTTCTCCCCCGATAACACTCCGGTTTGGTTCGTTACACACGGCTTCGGCTCTTCTTTTTAATGCGGTTGCTTAAAGAAAAGGGAGGGGGACGTTTCCAGCATCCATACCAGGGTTATAGCTAACAACCTGGCGCAGCAATAAGGGGGCAGCCCATGAAATGACAGTGGGACATGGAAAAATGGACCAACGATGCAATCACACACTCAGGGACTGGGGAACTCATTGCCACAGGACGGTGTCCAGGCAGAAACGTATCACGATTAAACGTGGGACGACATTTCCAGACTAAAGGGACTATCCAGAGTTAGAATCACTCAGACTAACGATTGTGGGAGGCACATTAAACCTCATGCTTCAGGGTGTTGTGAAACCTCTCGCTACTAGTGGGGAGGAAGGAATTTCATGGGGGGGGGGTGTTGCTTATACCTTGTAGTATTTGATCAGCTCAGATTCTGAAAGGGAGGGGGTTTGTGTAGACTCAGCTGGGCCATTTGTACACCAGCCCCCCGCCCCTTTCAACTGACACACGAACACTCACACGTCGCTCATGAGAAACCTTCTGTCTAACCGGGGGCCACGATTTTGCCTCCTCCAACCCAACCTTTCCCTGAACAAACGTCCACTCCCTCCAGCCAGCCCCTTTCTCACACTGCAGGGAGGCAGGTTCAGGATAGACCTTAGGAGACACTTTGCAACCGTGAGGCTAGTGGGATGCTGGGAGAAATGGCTGAGGGGGATTGTGGGAGACTTACCCATCGGAGGCTTTAAGAGCAGGTAAGACAAACCCCTCTGGGAGACAGTCTAGGTCAGGGCGACTCAACTCGGGAAGCCCTGGGGACCACAACCATACTCACAGCACGTGCCAAGGGCCACAGCTTAAGAGTGCTTGCATATATATGCAAATATCTATGCAAATATATGCACATAGCTTCTTTCACACTGATGGGCATGAATACAAAGATTAAGGCAGGGCTACATAACATGCTGGCCCCATTATCAGTTCTGCAGATACTGTGCCCATATGACAGCTCTTTGAATGACGGTGCAGGAATTTAACGACTAAAACACATCTCAACAGAAGGCCATTATACGGACTCCTTTTTTGTTTTGGCTCCCACCCATGGACCGTGTGTTGAATAGCCCTGGTCTGGATAATAGCTCGGGGAGCGGGATAGCCCGAGGGCCAGGCCGACTTTCTCTGATTCTACTCGCGAGGTGACAGCAGGAAACATCTTAGAACAGCAATACGCTAAGCGGCTCCCAGAGACCACGCCAGGGCCCTGCTCGGGTCTGTCCCTCAAAGCGATCAAGCTCCGAACAGGCCACGGCCACGGCCACGGCCACAAATCTGTCAGCAGTGGGTGGATTCAACAGGCTTCACCT